GTGGTAAAAAAAATCTACACCTAGACATGTAATAGTCAAGATCCCAGAAACCCAACAGAAGAATTAAAAACTGCAAGCAGTTAGAGAAAAGAAACAAATCACATGCAAAGGAAAGCCAATCAAAATCACATCAGACTTTTCAAGACAAACCCTCAAGTCAAGGAGAGCATGAAGTGAGATATGTTAAGCCCTAAAAGTAAACAACCTTCAACCTAGGCTTATGTATCCTGCAAAACTCTCTTTCAAATTTGATGAGGAAATAAGATACTTCCATGACAAGAACACCTGAGAAACTTCATGAATGCTAAACCAGCACTACAAAAAATTATAAACACTATACTAGAAAAAGGCAATGAAGGTCACAACACCATAAGTCCCACCAGAGCAAGTCAATCAGGCAAGGCAAGAAACTAAAGGGAGAGGGGGAAATATTAAAAAAAAGCCAACAACAGGATAATAACATGACAATGATAAGTCAATACATATCAGTAATATCCATCAATGTCAAGAGCCTCAATTCACCAATCAAGAGAAATAGACTGGAAGAATGGATTAAGAAGCAAAATCCAACAATATGTTGTACATAAGAAACACACCTAGTGCAAAAAGAAAGCCATAGACTGAAAGTGAAAGGATGGAAAACAGTTCTACAGGAGCCCAGAAAAAAGCAAGGGTAGCTATCTTATTTGCAGACAAAGTAAATTTCAAACCAAAACTGATTAAGAGAGACAAAGAAGGTCACTGCAACCTTGTAAAGGGAACATTTCAAGAGGAAGAGATGACAATTATAGATATATATCCACCGATTAATGCCCCCAAACTATGTAAAAGAAGTATTAAGGAACATGAAAAACCATATAAGCACTAATACAATTGTACCAGGGGGACACAACACATCACTATCACAAACAGACAGATCATCTAGACCAAAAAAAAAATCAACAACAAAATACTAGAACTGAACCAAGCTTTTGAACATATGGATTTAATAAACATCTATAGAGTATTTCACCCCAAGAAATCAGAATACACATCCTTTTCAGCTACACATGCATCATTCTCCAACGTAGATCACATTCTAGCTCAGAAAAGGTTTAAATAAATGTAAAGAATTGAAGTTACCCCATGTATATTATCAGAACATGGTTCAATTAAGGTGGAGATCAATAACATAAGAAACTGTGAGAACTTCACAAACACATGGAAACTGAACAACATTCTCCTGAACGATCAATCAATGCATCGTAGATGAAATTGAAGTAGAAATTAGTCAGTTTTTACTAATAAATAATAATGCCAGTAAAATATACAGGAATCAATGTGACACAATGAAATCAGTTCTATATGGAAAATTCATAGCAGTGAGTACCCACACTAGGAAAGCAGAGTGAGCTCAAGTAAACAACCTAATGATGAATTTTAGGCTCCTAGAAAAAGAACAAGAAAAACTCAAAGCTCATAAAAGGGAGTAAATTATAAAGATCAGAGCCAAAATCAATACAGTGGAAACTAAGAGAACTATACAAAAAAACATCAATGAAAGAAGAATTGGTTTATTTTAAAGAATAAATAAAAGTGAAAACCCTTAATGAATCTTGTCAAAAAAAGGAAATAAAATGCTCAGGCCCATGCAATTAGAAATGAAGAAGATGAAGACACAACACATCCAGCGGAAATCCAGAGGATCACCAGTAACAGCTTTGAGAACCTATATTCTAATAAAATGTAAAATACAGAAGAAATGGATATATTTCTAGGTATGAATTACCAATGTTGAATGAAGAATACAAAAATATTGTAATCACCCCAAGTACAATCAGTGAAATTGAAAATGTCATTAAAAGTCTACCAATGAAGAAAATCCCAGGCTCTGATGGACTCACTGCTGAATTTCACAAGACATTTAGAGAAGAACTATTGCTACTCCTCTTTAAAGTTTTCAATTATATTGAAAGGGAAGCAATACTTTCACATTCATTCCTGGAAGAAGTGTCACTTTTATTCCAAAACCAGGGAAAGGCTCAAACAAAAGAGAGAACTACAAGTCAATTTTCTCAATGAACATAGATGCAAAAATCCTCAATAAGATGCTGGCAAACAGAATACAGAGGGTCATCGAGATCATACACCCTGACTAATTTGGATTTATCCCCAACATGCAAAGATGATCCATCATACATATAAATCAAAAAATGTAATATACTATATTAAGAGAGTCAAGGATAAAAGCTATAAGATTGCCTCAATAGATATAGTGAAAGCATACCACAAAATTCAACATGCATTCATGATTAAAAACTCTGTAGAAAATTGAAATACATGTTTTTTTTCTCATTGGGTTTATTGGTACATTTGAGGTATACAGTACAGTTATATTCGTCATTGGGATAGTGTACCTTTACATGACAGAAGTTAGTTCTCATTTTTTCTTCTTACCCCTGCCCTCCCTTCACCCCTTCCTCCCTTCCCTATTTACAAATACTTTATTTCCATTTTTTTCATTTTCTCATATTGTTTTCTTTTCCCTTATTTCCTTTCCCCTACCCTTCCCACTTCCCGTATACATTTAGACCTTTTCCTCCTATTTCACATTGTCAATTATACCATTAGGATCTTATGCACTATTAGTTTTTCAAACCAGAGAAATGATTTGGTATTCACACATGTGTGACTTATTTATTTCACTTAAGAGTATATCCTCAATATGCATCCATTTTCCTATACATGACTCTAATTTCTTACTCTTCTTCTTCTTTTTTTTGGGGGGGGTTGAGACAGGGTCTTACTATGTAGTTGAGACTGATCTGGAACTCAGTATGTAGCCCCTGCTGGTCTCAAACTCACAGTGATCCTCCTGCCTCAGCCTCCTGAGTGCAGAGATTACAAGCATGCTCCACCACACCCAGTTCTAATTTCTCTTTAGACTGAGCACTATTCCATTTTATAGAAAAACCACATCTTCTTTAACTAGTCTTCAACTGATGGGTAAATGGTCTGTTTCCAAGTTTTAGCTGTTACGAACTGTGCCACTATAAACATGGGTACGTATACATCTCTGTGATATGATTCTTTTAATTCTTTTGGAAAGATATCCAGCAGAGGGATAGCTGGGTCAAATGGAATCTCTAATCCTAGTTATTTGAGGTATCTCCATATTGATTTCCATAGTGCTTGCATCAGTCTGCACTCCCACTAATACAGAAGGGTTCCTTTCTCCCCATAACCCTGCCAATATTTGTTATTGTTTGATTTACTGATAGCCATACTTTGTGGGGTGAGATGGAATCTCAGTGCTGTTTTGATCTGCATTTCTTAAAGGACCAGTGATGTAGAACATTTTTCATATATTTACTTGCTGCTTTTACTTCTTTGTCTGAGAAATGTCTGTTCATTTCATATGACCATTTTTGAATCAGGTCTTTATATTTGGGGGGCTGATTTTTTTAGTTCTTTATGTATTCTAGATAATAGTCCTTTCTCTGAGCAGCATCTGGTACAAATTTTTCCCACATTTTAGGTTTTCTCTTCATTCTGTTGATGTTTTCTTTTGCAGAGCAGAGGATTTGTAATAAGATGAGATATCAGTTTTTGATTCTTGTGCTACTTCCTGTGCTACTAAGGATTTATACATTAAGTCTTTTCTCATGCCAATGTCTTCAAGAGTTCTGCCTAACTTATTTTCCAACAGATTTAGTATCTCTTATTTAATAATTAGATCCTTAATCGACTTGTATTTTAGTTTAGTGCATGGTGAAAGATAAGGATCTAGTTTTAATCAATAGCAGGTTGAAATCCAGTTTTTCCAACATCATTTATTAAAGAGGCTGTCTTTTCTCCAGTGAGGATGGTAGGCTCCTTTGTCAAAGATGAGGTAGCTGAGTACATCTGGAGTTGCTACTGTATCAAACAATTTATTCCACTGATCTTCAGGTCTGTTTCTTTGCTGGTACCATGCTATTTATCATAATGCTTTGTAGTATAGTTTCAAATTGGGAATTGTGATACCTGCTGCCATGTCTCTGTTGCCTAGGAAGGCTTTTGCTCTTCTAGGTCTCTTCTGGTTCCAAATTAATTTTTGAATTATTTTTTCTAGTTCTGTGAAATATACTGTTGGAATTTCAATTGGCATTGCATTGAATCTGTATAGCAGTTTTGGCAGTATGGCCATTTTCACTATGTTGATTCTGCCTACCCACGGACAGGGATATCTTTCGATTTTCTTATATCCTCTTTGATCTCATTTTTCAGAGTGCTGTCACTTACAGTGAAGAGTTCTTTTGCTATTTTCATTACATTTATTTATATAAACTTCATTTTTTAGGATGTGATTTTGAAAGGAATTTCTTCCCTAATTTCTCTCTCAGTGAGTCTGGTATTTGTGTACAAGAAAGCTATTGATTTGTGAGTGTTGACCTTGTATCCAGCTACTCTGCTGAAATTGTGAATTAAGTCTAGATGTCTTTTGGTGGAATTTTTTGGGTCTTCAATGTAGAGTATCATATCAGCAAATAATGACATTTTAACTTCTTTCTTTCCTATCTTTATTGCTTTAATTTCTTTCTCTTGTCTAATTGCTATGGCTAATGTTTCCAGAACTATATCGAAGAGGATTGGTGATTTTGGGCGTCCTTGTCTTGTTCCTGATTTTAACCTGAAGGTTTTCAGTTTTTGGCCATTTAATATGATAATGGATGTTGGTTTTTTCTTTTTTTTTTACTTTTATTAAAATACTGAGTTTATTTCACAGGTATATTTTTGTGTCCCCACCATCCACCATCTCCATGTCTGACTGCCACTACTACTATGTCCTATCATAACATTCCATACTTACTTAATACCAAGCAAAGGGTGGAGCTCCATCTTTAAAAACTAACCAGGCATTTTGGACAGGCAACACATTCTTGGCAATGGAACCTGGACAACATTTATCAAACACGGTAGGGAAAGTTCCCACTTTGCAATATAAAAAGGATAGCCAGATATCAACTCTTACAGAAATGAAATAAGATGGAAAATTTTAACAAACTGTTTAAACTGTTTTCTTACAGAGACTTCCTCCACTGCCAGAGATCTTGAATAGCCTCCTGGTCAGTCATCCGGAAGCAATTCTTCACATAATTGACTAACTTGGCTTCCACTTTGACAAGAGAACCACCCTTCTCTATACTTGCTTGTATTTTTGCTTTAATATATTTTACAGAACTAGGTCCTTTGGGTGTTTTAGGAGTCTTTTCCTGTTTTTTGAAGGATTCTTGACCTTTTGATCTTGGTGTTGAAGGTTTTGAGTCTTTTCCATTCTGGTTTGATTTTTGTGCATTTTTAGCTGGAGTATCTCATATAGATTTCTTCACTGGAGCTTTCTCTTCAATTTCCTCATCATCAAAATCATCGTCATCATCATCATCTTCATCAGCAGCTAGTTTTACTTTTTTCTGTGGAACCTTGCTACCACTTCCAAGGGCAGATTGCTTTCCAGATATACTTAAGAGTTTTACATCCTCTTCCTCTTCATCATCTGATTCTGCATCTTCCTCCACAGCTACTAAGTGCTGTCCACGTATATGCAGAGGCCCTGAACCACACTTCAACCTTAAGATAACAGTTGGTGTAATTTCAAAGCCCCCAAGGGAAACCGTTGGCTGTACAGACATTTTCAAAGTTGCTAGTGTTACTTTAATTGGGCTGCCTTTGTAACTCATTGCTTCTGCTTCCACAATGTGCAATTCATCATTTGCAGCAACCCCTAAACTGACCGTTCTCAATGACAACTGGTGCTCATTTTTATCATTATCAACCTTAAAGTGATAATCTTTGTCAGCCTTCAGTTCACAACTGAAAAGATAGTTCTGGGGCCTCAGAGGGCTCATGTCCATATCCATCGAATCTTCCATGGAGTGATGGCATGCACTTAGGAGGGAGAGAACACGGATGGAAATAAACAGCTACTGCCCCAAGAGAACCTCCACACAGGATGGAATCATGCCAGACGGATGTTGGTATTTCATAGATAGCCTTTATTAAGTTGAGATATAGACTATCTTTTCCAATTTTTTGCAGGGTTTTTTTTATCATGATGGGTGTTGAATTTTGTCAAATGTTTTTTCTGCATCTATTGAGATGTTCACATGGTTTTTGACCTTGACTAAGTTAATATAGTGTATTACATTTATTGATTTACATATGCATATATGTACTAACATCAACAATGAAGGTGAACATTACACATTCTAAATATAAACTATGTATAGCAATAATAATAATAACATAGAGAAAGGAGATCTAGAGAGAGACAGAGGGAAGGGTGTAGGGAATGAATACAGAATAAAGAAGAACCGAGATGTGTTATGTACCTGTACCTGCTGTATAAAATAAATATTAATGTATTCCAAACACATTCTAATAAAATTAAAAATAAATTTACAATACTCTCAATAGAAGGAAAAGAATCATTTTACAGGCTTTAGCTGAGTAACAAAGAAAAAATACTCAAGAAAGCAAAATTTGAAGAATTTCTCTATGTTGATAAGGGTTTTGACAAAAAGTTATAGGCAAGATCATATAGACCATGAGAAAAAATGTGCACATTTTCCTTCAGATTAGAAAACAACACTGAGAGAGAAATTAGGGAAACAATTCCTTTCACAGTAGCATCCAAAAAAAAAAAAAAAATGAAGTATCTAGGAAGCAATCCAACAAAAGAAGCAAAAGACCTCTACACTTAAAACTACAGCACTCTGAAAAAAGAGATCAAAGAGGATATAAGAAAAGGGAAAGATGTCCCCTGCTCCTGGGTACGAAGAATCAACATAGTGAAAACGGCCATACTACCAAAACTGCTATACAGATTCAATGCAATGCCAATTGAAATTCCAACACTATATTTCACAGAACTAGAAAAACAATCCAAAAATTCGTTTGGAACCATAAGAGAAATAGAATAGCAAAAGCCATCCTAGGCAACAGACACATGGCAGCAGGGATAACAATTGCCAATTTGAAACTATACTACAAAGCCACTGTAACAAAAACAGCATGGTACTGGCAAAGAAACAGACCTGAGGATCAGTGGAACAGACTGGAAGATACTAAAACAACTCCAGATGTACTCAGCTACCTCATCTTTGACAAAGGACCTGACCATCCCCACTGCAGGCAAGAAAGCCTCTTTAATAAATGGTGTTGGAAAAACTGGATGCCAACCTGCAAAAGATTAAAACTAGACCCTTATCTTTCACCATGCACTCAATTAATATCGAAGTGGATTAAAGATCTAAATATTAAAAGAGAAACACTAAACTTGCTGGAAGATAAGTTAGGCAGAACTTTGAAGACATTCGCATAGGAAAAGACTTTATGAACAAATCTTCAGTAGCGCAGGAACTAGCAGAAAAAATCAACAACTGGGATCTCATCTTATTAAAAAGCTTCTGCACTGCAAAAGAAACCATCAACAGAACTAAGAGACAACCTATAGTGTGGGAAAAAAATTTACCAGATGCTCCTCTGACAAAGGTCTATTATCTAGAATACATAAAGAGCTCAAAACAATCAGCCCCCCCAACAACAATATAATGACCCAATTCAAAAATGGGCATCTGAAATGAATAGACATTTCTCAAACAAAGAAGTGAAAGCAGCAAGTAAATATATGAAAAAATGTTCCACATCAGTGGTTGTTCAAGAGATGTAGATGACAACAACACTGAGATTCCACCTCACCCCACAAAAATGGCTGGTATCAAGAAATCAATCAATAACAAACTCTGGCAGGGTTTTGGGGAGAAAGGAGCCCTTCTCCATTGTTGGTGGGAGTGCAGACTGGTGCAACCACTATGGAAATCTATATGGAGATACCTCAAAAAGCTGGGACTAGAGGTTCCATTTGACCCAGCCATCCTTCTGCTGGGTATCTTTCCAAAAGAATTAAAAGAATCATGCAACAGTGATATATGTACACCTATGTTTATAGCGGCACAGTTTGTAATAGCTAAAACTTGGAAACAGCCCATTAGCCCATCAGTTAGAAACTGGATAAAGAAGATATGTTTTTTCTATAAAATGGAATACTACTCAGCCATAAAGAATGAGAAACTAGAGTCATTCATAGGAAAATGGATACATATTGAGAATATACTCCTAAGTGAAATAAATAAGTCACACATGTATAAATACTGAATAGTTTCTCTGGTGTGAAAAACTATAATAGTACATAAGATCCTAATGAGATAATTGACCATGTGAAATAGGAATAAAAGGGCTAAAGGTGTAGGGAAATTGGGAAGGGTAGGGGAAAAGTAATAAGGGAAAAGAAAAATATGACAAAATGAAAAAATTCAAATAAAGTGTTTGTAAATGGGGATGGGAGGAAGGAGTGAAGGGAGGGCATGGAGAAGGGGAAAGAATGAGAACCAAGACCTGTCATGTAAAGGTACAAGATCCCAAGTTGAATGCAACTGTACTGTATACTTAGAATGTACCAATAAACTCAATAAAAGAAACAAAATGAGTAAGATATTTTCATCATTTCTTACCATTATAATGGAAGTCCTAGCCTTGGCAGTTAACAAATAAAAAGAAGTAATAAAATAAAAGACATTAATTGAAGACAAAAAAAGCTATTTTCATCATCTACCTAGAAAAATCTCAAAGTATCAACAAGCATTATAGAACTAATGAGATTATCAAGTTTGAAGGATTAAAGACTAATGTGGAAAAAGTAACTATATTTCCACGTGATCACAACAAACAACTAAAACTTGAAAATTTTAAACTAACATTTATAATAAAATTGTAAAATGTGGAATTTATATACAGTGAAGTACTATTCTGCCAAAGGAAGGATAAATATGAGTCATTTTTGGAAAATGCATACACCTTGAGGCCATAATGTTAAGTGAAATAAATCAGACACACAAGCTTAAATACTACATCCTTTCTCTTATATGAGATACCCAAAGTATAAATACATTTAAAATTTCGAATAGATGGTAGGGAACAGAAAAGAGATCTTTCACAAAAGAGCAGAAATCAAGGAGATGCAATGAAGAGGGAGAGGAGAGGAAAGTGATGAAGAAATATGATGTGTTGTATACATGCACCAACTCCCCTCAATGAAAGTAGTCATAATGTACTATAAACATGTACTAATAAACATTTTAGAAAATAAGGCATACTTGGACATATATTTAATGAAATATGTGCAAGAATGGGAAACTGAAAACAATATACAGATTCAAAATATTAAAGATGATATGAATATAGTGGCAAAAGTTTTGTAGAGAATAAAAACCAGTTTTGTTAAAATGCATACTTTGCCATAATTTATCTACATATTCTATAGACATAATGCAATTTTAATTTTTACAAAACAACTGATTTTTCTTTTGTAGAATTTGCCATGTTATTGTAAAGTGTATAATGAAATTGAAATTTCTCAGTCAACAAACAAAATTATAAAATGAGTAATTTTAAGGACTTACACTACAATATTTAAAACCTTACTCTAAAGCAACAATAATGAAGATAGTTTTTCAAAGTAGTGATGTCAGCAAGTTTGAAGATTAGAAGCTCCCCTGCTCTTATCCCTCATTAGTAACAGTAACTTGGCAGACATCCATGGACAAGAGAGCCTTTTCATGATATTTGGAGTCAAAGAAGGAAGTTACAAAACCTTTATATATCCCAAGAGGGCTGGAAACAGTCATGTCATCCTAAAGAATTGGTTAAAATCTCAACTGACCTTGGTCCTGCCACTAGTACCATCCACTAAAGGACCTAAAATAAGCTAGGACAACTAAGGCCTGAAGTACCTGGCCCAGTTATGGAATCTTAGATGATATTTCATGTGGCCTCTGCATTTCTCATCCACTGTACTAGAGCACTCCTGTTTATCCAGGAAACCAGTACAAGCCAGGCCCCATGTGCCTCAAAATGTAGGCCTGTCAAATTTAGACTATAGATACTGAAGCAACTCTGTAATTCATTTCCCATTCCTCTCAGCCACAGTTTGAAATCTGTTTTGTTTGCCCAAGGAATTGCTGAGAAACATGCACAGAGGGATGCCAGGAGGCAGGCCTAGTGTCTGTTGTTGTGAAGCAGCCCTATAACTTGGTCCCAGCCACTCCCTGCTCAAATCTAGGAGTGTTTCTGTTCTATCAAACTCTGGAAAAACATATTGCTTTTTGTCTCTGAAGGTAGGCTCACAAGGCATATATAGATCGCGAGGAACACTTACACCTTGACTCCAATCCTGAAGGATGGCCTGAAGATCTCAAAATTAGATGTAGTTTCTGTAACACAGCTGTGAATCAGTTACCGACCTTCTCGGCTGCAGACCAGAAGCTCTCCTGCCTATTCCAGGACCCAGCAAGAGACCAGGTACAAGTTCTCTAAAAACAGCTAGTGGAAACCATATATTTCATGATACTTGTTAAGTGAACCAACACCTGTGGAAACCTAAAGCAGACTGCTTTCTAAGCATCAACCCAACTGAACAACGGCTTTGAAGCAGTTATGTCTTCCCAGAGACCAGGGACGAGCCACAGCAACAACAGCCTCTGATAACAAACCTGGCAAACATAGACACTACCATGGACCAAGCAGCTGCAGTATTAACTGACCATAACCATACTTGAATATGAAATAAAGCATCAAATAAGTCCAAAGACTACACCTGTGAAAAACCCATCTGCAAAAGGGGAAGACCTATTTACTCCTTCAAATTAGCATATACCAATACAACACTACACAAATAAAAAAGAATGAAGAAGCTAGCAAATCTCTAGTGACTAACACCAAAGAGTAGAATTCTGTAAATTGAATGTCAAATTATTAAAAATTTTCTTGACCCTCTAGAGGTCACAACTGATTTGACAGATTCAAACTCTTGTTACATATTGTTAAGAAGTAACACATGACCCACAC